TAAACCCTAAACCCTAAACCCTAAACCCTAAACCCTAAACCCTAAACCCTAAACCCTAAACCCTAAACCCTAAACCCTAAACCCTAAACCCTAAACCCTAAACCCTAAACCCCTAAACCCTAAACCCTGAAATTGTACGGAGCATGGTTGATGCTCCGTTGACAATGACCTGGTACCAGTCAATCGGTCTCTGGTCGGCAGAGGGCTCTGACTGGGTGTGTCCCGGTGGAGCTAAGGACCCTGCTGCTGCCGCGCCTGAGCCTGATGGTGTTGGTGTGAGGGTGGTCAGTGCTGCAGCAGCAGTTTCTGCCACAGCCAGGAATTGAACCGCTGCTGTAGGTGTAGCTGAAGCTGCAGGCGTGTCTGCCATATTGCCTGCATGTGCCTCTGCACCAGCGACAGTCGGTGACCTGGTAGGTGAGTCGGCCGTTGGTGTGCCCATTGGTGCTGAAATCTCAGGCGTAGTGGCTGGCACACCGTGGTCATGTGCGCCTGCCCATGGGCCTACACCTCCCCCCGTCTCCTCTCCAGCCATTGGCTCAGCGTGTTCGCCTTGTTCTGAGCTGGCGGAATGGACGGAAGCACCCGGGATGGGGGAATTTTCTGCTGAGGCGAAATCCGCCTCTGTTGCCTCTGAGAAATCTGATCCAGCCTCCGACGCACCCGCTCCTGATGTTCCCCGTGCCGCTGCAGCTCTGAATCTGACGCCAAGCCGCCTCCTGACTGAGCTTAGCTGATAGTGGGTATGGCGGCTATTTCTTGATGTTTGTGCTCTAGTGCCTAAGTAAACCGTCATACTAGCTGCCGGCCTCCGACTTCTTCGTGCGATCTGTAGTACTTCGCGCGGCGTAGTTTAGGGTTTGATTAGAAAAAATAAGCCTAGCTGCAGCTGCTAGCAAATCCCAGTTTAAACTGGGGCGGCTTTACTACTGAGGCGGCTACTAAGGTAGCGTGAGAGTAGGAGGAGGTGAGTGGCGCGTGGGTTGGGAAGAAGGGGTCGAATTGAAATGGGGGGGGGGGGTGCCGAAATGTTGAAACCGAGGCGCGCATTTGACGCGCGCGCCTCGGGAGTCAAGAATCGAGAAATTGGGGGGGGGAGAAATTCGAGTTGACTTGGCGAGAAAAAAATTCCTCGCCAAAAAACGACTCGCCCTCGGAAATCGCGATTACGGTTCAGTGCGGTGACGCGCTGCTAAGCGCAAAATGCTCCGTGAGATACGCGGAAATAGACCTATTTTAATCTTCTCTTCTCTTTTCAAGCTAAGGAAACGCATTAGGGCTGCTGAAATAACTGTTGCAAATGCATTTCGGCCAGTAGAGGCCATCATCAGTGCTAACAGCAGCAAAAGTGGCGAGACCTAGCCTAAGTAGGGAAGAGAGGGTTGGGAAAGAAAGTCCCATCCCCTTTAGTAGCGCCCCACTGAAATTAAAACAACACCAAAAAACTATTCTAATTTTTTCTTAGTCATAAAAATAACTAAGAGCAGCATTAGGTAGTCGTTGGTTGCTGTTCCACCAGAAATAAACGATTCCTTGTTTCCTGTGGCGTGCTCTTGGGGAGCTGTGGCCTGTGTAGTGGTACCAAGCACAGATCACAGACGGAATATCGCAGGGAAAAATGCTAGGCAGGGGAATTGCAGGAGGGGACGCAGGGTGAAAGTAGATATGCGTGGGATGTGTTTATTATTTTTATATGAATGTAAACCCGCTTAGGCAACGCGCGCACTGAGTCGGGGCTGTCGTGACAGTGTTCTATCATCAACGTGCCCTCGTGTGCTCTTATGCCAGCAGCGTCAAGTGTGCGGTGTCGCGTGAGGGCTTGATGTTTGATGTTAGTTGCAGGGTGGCATTTGCATGGGTCTTTGATGATGTGATGGCGATGCATGGTATTAGGGGGCATGATGGCAGTGCATGCAAATGGTTCCGTGCATGCGTGAGGTGTGTCATGACTGTCGGTGCAGGTGGGTCGTGCGAGTGTGTGCGTACATGGATGTGGGTGTAGGGAGGGAGACAGAGGGACAGAGAGACATGTGAATGTGGGAGGCGTAGCCTGTTGTCACATCTTGAAAATTTACCCTGCGAGCGTATGAATGGGGCGGGGGAGATGGATGAGATGATGATAGTAGTGTGGAGCTGCTGGGGTTCGGGTACATCGTGATGAGAAGCGGGGGGGGGGGGGGGGGGGGGGGGGGGGGGGGGGGGGGGGGGGGGGGGGTGGTTTTTCGGGGGGGGGCGCGCAGCCCCCTTCGATGATTGAAGTGTAACAGTGGGAGATGGGGCAGGGCGAGAGGTGTCAGATCAAGCGCGGTGCATGCAACCGGGCAAAGCAATCATGTCGCACTACCTTCTGATGCATCTCGAGCAGCCTCGCTCGTGAACGCAGCACGGACTAGCACATTCCTGAGCTTAGGTGCCGCACGAAAGCAGAAGAAAGGCTGTCTAGGGCATAGGGTAGCTACGATTTCTTTGTTCGTCTCGGAGCGAAGCAGTGATTTTACGCGTGGGTGCTCGAGGCTCGGGTGGTACTCTAGCACAAAGGGCAGTACCCTGTTGTCTCGCTGTTTACCTTTTTCCGAGTGTCGCATGCGTGTGTCCCTGTCGCTATACTGCACCTCGTCGAAGATCGGCTGGATGAAAGTTGAGTGGTAGCCGCGTGCTTTCAAGCGCTCTGCGAACGAAGCTTTCATGCGGTGAAAGCCTTCCTCGGAGGACTCCCTAAGGAGGTAACGGTACAGCTCACCGATAATGAAGCCTCGTTTGCAGTGTCGTGGGTGCGCAGAGCGAAACGGGAAATATTGGTAGACGTTCAACGGCTTTTGGTATACAGAGGTATCCAAAAAACCGCCTTCCGTGTTCTCTTTCCTTGTCGTTTCCCATTGCGTACCTTTGGTGAAAGTGATGTCGAGCAGGGTAAACGAAGTGGTGCTGATCTCGGTGGTGATGCGAATCCCAACTAGGAGGCTGTTGTATCCCTCTATCCAGAGATGCAAATCTGCTAGCGACCCAGTCCAGACGACCAGCCCATCGTCAATGTATCGCCTGTGCAGCAGTACATGTTCTGAGAGAGCGGGAAAACGGTCCTCCATGACGGTGTCGAGCCAGCTCATGAAAAGTACAGCGTAGATTACTGCAACCGGTGTCCCCATGGCAGTACCCTTGATTTGCCGATAGAACCTGCCGTCAAACTGAAGGTGGTTTTCAGTCATGACCAGCTCTAGCAGCTCGCAACACGCGCTGAGCTGCTTGGCGGGGCTCTTTTCTGAGTACAGCGGGTAGCCGTGTTTGCGTACGAACCTGTCTTTGGTTTCCCGTATGGCGTCGATGCCCTGCTGCAGCGGGATTGATGGATAAAGGCTTTCCACATCATATGTAAGGAAGATGGCGTGTTCGGGTATAGGGAGGGTGCGGAGCGTGTGTAGTAGGGTGATTGAGTCTGGTAGATGGGCTGGAGCGAGCGTCAAGAGCGGGCGTAAATAGTGATCTAGTACCTGGCTGGCGTGCTCGAAGACCCAAAGCGTGGAGGAGCATATCGGTCTACCTTTGACTGGAGTTTTGTGCAGTTTCGGTAACAGGTAAAACCTACATACGCGGAACTGTTCGTGCACAGTACCCTCGTGTTCGTCAACCCTTGGTTGCAGGATATACTCGATGGTTTCCCGAGGGAAACTCCTTTTGTATGTCGAGCACCAAGCGTCTAGACGTTCGAAGAGATCAGTCATTGGTACCGACTCCACCTCTGTGTAGGTGTCAGTGTCCGACAGCTGTCTGAGTGCCTCTGTGCGATACCATGCAGTGTCCAGTAAGGCCAGCCCTAGATTTTTGTCTGCTGGCTTCACTACGACATTCGGGTTCTTGCTCAAACGCTTCACGCATCGCAACGAGGCATTGCTCATGTTCCTGCGAGCTGGGCGCATCATCAGCGGAAGGTGTTCCCGTATCTTTTCTTCTACCTCTGCTATGTAACGCTCGACAGGAGGCGCTGCGGGGTCTGGATCGTAGGATGGTTTGGGGATGCGGAAGCGAGGGGCTGGTCTGTCAGAGGAGAAGTGTGAGATCAATCTCACACTTCTTACGAAACGCGCGAGTGCACTCTTTATGGTTGTTGCGGTGGGAGGTGGAGGTGTCGGGATGAACGAGAGACCTAGGCTTAGGCCTTCCAGCTCAGCGGGTGATAGGGTAAGTGTGGATTTGTTGTGTATGAACTTGGAGTGGAGCTCGTCTTGGATGGTTACCTGTGAGGCTCGCAGGAGACGTGTCAGGGTTGGGGTCAGAGAACGCCTAAGGCTGTCTTTTCTGGGTCTCGAACGGGGCTTTTTACCGGTTCTGGCAGGGCTCACCTGCTGGTTGGTATCATCTGATGTGGTTGAACTGTGTCGTGGAAGGGGGCTTATGTCGTTTCTGCGTGGCATGTCATCTGCTGGTGTAGTGTTTGAGGTGTTGTGCCCGGGGTTAGTGGGATGGGCTACTATGTTGCCAGGGCTAATATTTGGGCTGCTTTGTCGGTGGGTTTCATTGGGAGGTGTGTTATGTGGTCTGAGGCGTAGGGCTTGGCTTAGCGACAGGGGTGGGTTTGGTGGGGGCCGGCGTACATACCTAGGGGTAACGCTGTCGTCCGGGATTGTTTTTGGCGTCGCTGCGGTATCTGCGTTAGGGTGGGTGGGGAGGGGAGGGATCTTCACCATAAAAAATGCATGGGCATGGGGACGGCAGCAGGGCCATAGTTAGTGTTAAGTGGTGTCCCTCTGCCCTCGTGTGGCCCAAACACTATCTGGGCTTGTGGTCCTTGAGCTACCTGCTGGGTGGGGGGACCTGCGGTTGCATAAGGGTATGTTGGTGGCGCTGGTGTTGCTGACATGACCGATATGTTTGAAAGCGCCGGTTGAGCTGGTGCCGAGGTCTGTGGCAGGGGGGCAGCCTGCTGGGGGAAGAAGAAGGGATGTGTATGAGGCAGGTAGTGGCCGCCATGGTTCATGCTGGGATGCATGGGTGCTAAGGGGTATGGCTGGTACATGCTGGGGAATGCGGGGTTTGCCATGAAGGTATAGGCGGGTGCTGCTGGTGCTTGAGGGGCGGGCTGGGCAGGGGTGTCTGGCTGTGGTGCGGTCTGCTCTGGTGCAGTTTGAGTGCGGTCAGCTGTGCCTGGCGCCTCTCGAGCAGTGCGGTCAAGTGCGGGTCCTGGATCGGGCTGTTGCCCGGTTTGCTCTGGCTGTCCTTGACCTAAATGTGTGCTCTGAGGCTGTTCTCTCTGTGCGCTTCTCAGCTGGCCCCTATCGTCCCGGTGTTCCCTCTGTTGTGCCCGTCCCGGTGCCCTCTGTGGTGCACCCCTGCTCTCGTGCATCGCTGGTCTGTCGTGTTGTGAGGGGTGTTGGGGTGCCATGCGGATAGCATAGTGCTGCTGCCATGGTGCTTGGGGAGCTGTGCGGGCTGTGTCAGTGTGGCGTTGCCTAGGCCGGTTTACCTTCAACCCACGCATAGCTACCTTCACCGCCGCAGCAGTCGCAATGGCTGCCGCGGACGACTGCGAGGTCCTCACTGCCGTCTGCAAGCGTCCTCCCCGCTGTGTGCCCTCAGTGTACCCCGGACGTGTTGAAGGAGAGGTCGTCACCGGTATCGGCTGCGCTGCTACTCCGGCTGCTGTCGATGCTGGAGCTGTGCCTGCAGCCCCTGGTGTTGCTGCTGCTGGTGCTGGGGCTGGCTGCGCAGTGTCATTAGTTGAGGCTATTGCTGCTGCTGGTCCTGCTGCTCCCTGCACTTCTGTTGCAGTGGCTGCTGGTCCTGCTGCTGTAGCAACCTCGCCTCCCCCCAGCCTCTCTGCTGATGTTGCTGCTGCTGGAAGAGCCGCTGTCCTCCCCGCGGTTCCCCCTGCCTCAGGGGCTGTCGCTGCTGCTGTGGGTTGCTGTGAGGTGGCTCCGTTTCGGGCCTTGTGTTTTTTCGCTTCTCTTCGGCGTTGTGCCCTGCTCTTTCCTGCTACCTTCCCGTGCTCTGTTGTAGGCCCACTCTTAGACTGGCGCTGCTCCAAGGCCTCTACCCGCTGCTGTAGGGGGCCAACCAGTGTTTTCATCAGCCCGAGCAGGTCGGTAGAAGGATCTGCTTGTATCTGCTCCACCTGCGCCTGTTCACCCCGTGCCTTCTCCCGTTTAGCTGCCCCCCTTGCCTTTGAGTTGCGGTTGCCCTTGATCCACACGGCATGATACATCAGCTCTCGTGCCATGCCACGTGCCATGTAGTCAGCGGCCAGCTCCTTGAGGTGAGCATCGGGTGCAGGGGTACCAGGTGCTGCATGGGTCTCGAAAAAGTGAAGGTCTTTCTCCAGGAAGCTCTCGAAGCGAGTGTGTGTCCGTGCCGCCCACACCTCTGCTGCCGCTTCCCAGTGAGCCTTCTCCTTCTCTTTGTACCCCATCAGAGTCAGCTGGGCCTTTGTTTTGAAGGTTTTCAGCTCATTGTCTAGGGCCTGGTTCAAACTCTCCTGTAGGGCAGGGTCGGTTAGCTGTAGCGTGGGGGTTGAAATCCGGAGAGCGTGGGAAACTTCCCCATCCCTGAACTGCTGCTGAAGCTCGCACAGGCCGTTCGATACTTTGCTGTAGGTGCGAAGGCAGCTCTTGAATGAAGCCAGCTCCTTCTCGATCGCCTTGCGCAGGAGCTTAGGCAAGCTCTTGAAGGGTGAGGAAGCAGGGGGCTCTGGTGGTGTCGTGTTGAGTAGCATGGACTGCATATCTTCGAAGAAACGATGCCAAACAGTAGGGAGGTCTTCTTCTTCCTTCAGCCCATATGCTGCCTCTAGGCCCTTCATGCCGAACTGCTCACCCCGCATGAGAGCTGCCGCTGCCTTGCCAATCTCTCTCTTTGTCAGCTTCAAACCCTCTGGGGTTGCATCCTCCTGGCTCGTTGGGCTCATGGGCTGCTCGGGTGGCTCCGCTTCGTCCTCTCCTCCGCATGGGTCAAACTCCACGGGGCAGTAGAGGATACGGGTCCCATCCCTATTAGGGCCTTCATCCCTGGTCCCCTTGCTGCTGCTGCTGCTGCTATCGCTCGGCTGCTGATGAGGCTGTTGTGCTTGTGGTGCGGCTGCTGCTGTGTCATCGTGTCCCGGCCAGGTCGGTGTGAGGCTGTCCGGGCGGCTCTGTCCCTGCTGCAGCGTGGTAGTGGGTGGCACGATAGGTGCTGTTCCGTTAGGGGGTAGCTCATCAGTGCCCTTGCAAGCTCGTGGGAGATCACTTATGCGGCTGCTTGTGACAACCAAAGGTTCTCCCAACCTCATTGTTGCTAGCACTGAAATCCCTGCCCTTGCTCGTCTCGTGTCACCAGCTTCTTCCGCATGCTGTCCTGCCCCCTGCATTGTCGTGGCTGCGCTGGTTCTTGCTCCCTCATTCAGTTTCACCTGCTCCCTGTCGTTGCTTCCTGCTGCTGGGGTAGCTGTGACGGTTGTGTCTGTATCTGCCATGGCCTGCCCTCTCCTGTCCTCTTCCTCCAAAGCAGCTGGTGCCGCTGTTGCGGTGGGCTGTTGTTCACGTTGCTCCACCACATCCTTGCATGCCCCTGTCACCGCTCCTCTCATGCCGTTGGGTCCAGCACCCTGTATGAAGAGGCTGCTGGTGTTTCCCACCTGCAGCATGCCTGGCATTGGGCTGGTTTGTGCTGCCGGTGGGTTCGGACTTGGTTGGGGGGCGATGGGAGCTGGCGTGTGCGTAGGAGGAGGAGCTGGTGAATCAGGGGTCACGATCCCTGGCAGTGGGTTGGTGTGTGAAGGGTGTACTAGTGCTGTATCTGTCACCGCCGGTGTCACTGCTGCGCCACCTGCTGCTGCTGTCCCTGCTGTGTTTGCCGCTGTTCCGGCCGGTGTTGCAGTTGCCAAAGCTGTTGGCGCCACTGCTGTGTGAGTTGCTGTTGGTGTCGCTGCTGCCATGACTGTTGCTGTGCTTGCTGTTCTTACTGTTGCTGCTGCGGCTAATGCCTGAGGGGCATGGGGTGCTGATGCTGCTGTTCCTGGTGCCGTTGCTGCCTCACCCGTGACCGGTGCTCGTGCCGTGTTCCCTGCCGCTGGAGTAGTTGCTGCTGCTCCGAATTCAGCTGCTGCCGCCGTCAGTGCTTCACGATATATCGCGTGCCACGGGGGGGATCCAGTCGGGGAAATTGTACGGAGCATGGTTGATGCTCCGTTGACAATGACCTGGTACCAGTCAATCGGTCTCTGGTCGGCAGAGGGCTCTGACTGGGTGTGTCCCGGTGGAGCTAAGGACCCTGCTGCTGCCGCGCCTGAGCCTGATGGTGTTGGTGTGAGGGTGGTCAGTGCTGCAGCAGCAGTTTCTGCCACAGCCAGGAATTGAACCGCTGCTGTAGGTGTAGCTGAAGCTGCAGGCGTGTCTGCCATATTGCCTGCATGTGCCTCTGCACCAGCGACAGTCGGTGACCTGGTAGGTGAGTCGGCCGTTGGTGTGCCCATTGGTGCTGAAATCTCAGGCGTAGTGGCTGGCACACCGTGGTCATGTGCGCCTGCCCATGGGCCTACACCTCCCCCCGTCTCCTCTCCAGCCATTGGCTCAGCGTGTTCGCCTTGTTCTGAGCTGGCGGAATGGACGGAAGCACCCGGGATGGGGGAATTTTCTGCTGAGGCGAAATCCGCCTCTGTTGCCTCTGAGAAATCTGATCCAGCCTCCGACGCACCCGCTCCTGATGTTCCCCGTGCCGCTGCAGCTCTGAATCTGACGCCAAGCCGCCTCCTGACTGAGCTTAGCTGATAGTGGGTATGGCGGCTATTTCTTGATGTTTGTGCTCTAGTGCCTAAGTAAACCGTCATACTAGCTGCCGGCCTCCGACTTCTTCGTGCGATCTGTAGTACTTCGCGCGGCGTAGTTTAGGGTTTGATTAGAAAAAATAAGCCTAGCTGCAGCTGCTAGCAAATCCCAGTTTAAACTGGGGCGGCTAAACCTAAACCCTAAACCCTAAACCCTAAACCCTAAACCCTAAACCCTAAACCCCTCCCCATTCTCCCGCTTTCCATCACAACGCCACATTCTCCCCCTTTCCATCACCCCGCCCCATTCTCCCGCTTTCCATCACCCCGCCCCATTCTCCCGCCTTCCATCACCCCGCCCCATTCTCCCGCTTTCCATCACCCCGCCCCATTCTCCCGCTTTCCATCACCCCGGCCCATTGTCCCGCTTTCCATCACCCCGCACCATTCTCCCACTCTCCATCACCCCGCCCCTTTCTCCCGCTTTCCATCACCCCGCCCCATACTCCCGCTTTCCATCACCTCGCCCTATTCTCCCTCCTTCCATCACCTGGCCCCATTCTCCCTCCTTCCATCACCCGCCCCATTTCCCCGCTTTCCATCACCCCGCCCCATTCTCATGCTCTCCCTCACCCCGCCCCATTCTCCCGCTCTCCATCACCCCGCCCCATTTTGCCGCTTTCCATCACCCCGCCCCATTCTCCCCCTTTCCATCACCCCGTCCCATTCTCCTGCTTTCCATCACCCCGCCCCATTCTCCCGCTTTCCATCACCCCGCCCCATTCTCCCGCTTTCCATTACCCCGCCGAAATCTCCCGCTTTCCATCACCCTGGCCCATTCTCCTGCTTTCCATCACCCCGCCCCATTCTCCCGCTTTCCATCACCCCGCCCCATTCTCCAGCTTTCCATCACCCCGCCCCATTCTCCCGTTTTCCATCGCCCCGCCCCATTCTCCCGGTTTCCATCACCCCGCCCCATACTCCCGCTTTCCATCACCTCGCCCCATTCTCGCTCCTTCCATCACCTCGCCCCATTCTCCCTCCTTCCATCACCCGCCCCATTTTCCCGCTTTCCTTCACCTCGCCCCATACTCTCTCTTTCCATCACCCCACCCCATTCTCCCTCTTTACATCACCCCGCCCCATTCTGCCTCCTTCCATCACCCCGCCCCATTCTCCCGCTTTCCATCACCCCGCCCCATTCTCCCTCCTTCCATCACCCTGCCCCATTCTCCCGCTTTCCATCACCTCGCCCCATTCTCCCGCTTTCCATCACCCTGCCCCATTCTCCCGCTTTCCATCACCCCGCCCAATTCTCCCCATTCTCCCGCTTTCCGTCATCCCGCCGAATCTCCCGCTTTCCATCACCCCGTCCCATTCTCCTGCTTTCCATCACCTCGGTCCATTCTCCCTCCTTCCATCACCCCGCCCTATTCTCCCTCCTTCTATCACCCCGCCCCATTCTCACGCTTTCCATTTTCCTGGCCCATTCTCCCGCTTTCCATCACCCCGCCCCATTCTCCCCCTTTTCAATCACCCCGCCCCATTCTCCCGCTTTCCATCACCTTGCACCATTCTCCCGCTTTCCATCACCCCGCCCCATACTCCCGCTTTCCGTCACCCTGTAACATTCTCCCTCCTTCCATCACCCCGCCCCATTCTCCCGCTTTCCATCACCCCGCCCCATTCTCCCTCCTTCCATCACCCCGCCCCATTCTCCCGCTTTCCATCACCCCGCCCTATTCTCCCGCTTTCCATCACCCCACCGCATTCTCTCGCTTTCCATGACCCCGCCCCATTCTCCCGCTTTCCATCACCCCGTCCCATTCTCCCGCTTTCCATCACCCCGCCCTATTCTCCTTCTTTCAATGTCCCTGCCCCATTCTCCCGCTTTCCATCACCCCGCCCCATTCTCCCGCTTTCCATCACCTCGCCTCATTCTCCCGCTTTCCATCACCCTGCACCATTCTCCCGCTTTCCATCACCTCGCCCCATTCTCCCTACTTCCATCATCCCGCCCGATTCTCCCGCTTTCCATCACCCTGCCCCATTCTCCCGCTTTCCATCACCCCACCGCATTCTCCCTTCTTCCATTACCCCGCCCCATTCTCCCGCTTTCATCACCCTGCCCCATTCCCTCTCTTTCCATCACCGACCCCATTCTCCAGCTTTCCATCACCCCGCCCCATCCTCTGCTTTCCATCACCCTGCCCCATACTCCCGCTTTCCATCACCCAGCCCCATTCTCCCTCCTTCCATCACCACGCCCCATTCTCCCTCCTTCCATCACCCCGCCCCATTCTCCCGCTTTCCATCACCCCGCCCCATTCTCCCTCCTTCCATCAACCCGCCTCATGCTCCCACTTTCCTTCACCCCGCCCCATTCTCCAGCTTTCCATTGCCCCGCCCCATTCTCCCGCTTTCCATCACCCCGCCCCATTCTCCCGCTTTCCATCACCCCGCCCCATTCTCCCGCTTTCCATCACCCCACCCCATTCTCCCGCTTTCCATCACCCCGCCCTATTCTCCCTCCTTCCATCACCCCGCCTCATTTTCCCGCTTTCCATCACCCCGCCCCATTCTCCCGCTTTCCATCACCCCGCCCAATTCTCCCGCTTTCCGTCACCCCGCCCCATTCTCCCGCTTTCCATCACCCCCTCCCATTCTCCCACCTTCCATCACCCCGCTCCATTCTCCTGCTTTCCCTCACCCCGCTCAATTCTCCCGCTTTCCGTCACCCCGCCCCACTCTCCAGCTTTCCATCACCCCGCCCCATTCTGCCGCTTTCCATCACCCCGCCCCATTCTCCCGCTTTTCAATCACCCCTCCCCATTCTCCCGCTTTCCATCACCCTGTACCATTCTCCCGCTTTCCATCACCCCGCCCCATACTCCCGCTTTCCATCACCCCGCCCCGTTCTCCCGCTTTCCATCACCCCGCCCAATTATCCCGCTTTCCAACACCCCGCCCCATTCTTCCGCTTTCCATCACCCCAGTCCATTCTCCTGCTTTCCATCACCCCGCCCCATTCTCCCACTTTCCTTCACCCCGCCCCATTCTCCTGCTTTCCATCACCCCGCCCCATTCTGCCGCTTTCCATCACCCCGCCCCATTCTCCCACTTTTCGATCACCCCTCCCCATTCTCCCACTTTCCATCACCCTGTACCATTCTCCCGCTTTCCATCTCCCCGCCCCATACTCCCGCTTTCCATCACCCTGCCCCATTTCCCTCCTTCCATCACCCCGCCCCATTCTTCCTCCTTCCATCACCCCGCCCCATTCTCCCGCTTTCCATCATCCCGCCCCATTCTCCCTCCTTCCATCACCCCGCCCCGTTCTCCATACTTCCATCACCCCGCCCCATTCTCCCACTTTCCATCACCCCGCCCTATTCTCCCGCTTTCTATCACCCTGCCTCATTCTCTCGCTTTCCATGACCCCGCCCCATTCTCCCGCTTTCCATCACCCTGCCCCATTCTCCCGCTTTCCATCACCCCGCCCTATTCTCCTTCTTTCAATGTCCCTGCCCCATTCTCCCGCTTTCAATCACCCCGCCCCATTCTCCCGCTTTCCATCACCTCGCCTCATTCTCCCCCTTTCCATCATCCTGCACCATTCTCCCGCTTTCCATCACCTCGCCCCATTCTCCCTCCTTCCATTACCCCGCCCCATTCTCCCGCTTTCCATCACCCTGCCCCATTCTCCCGCTCTCCATCACCCTGCCCCTTTCTCCCGCTTTCCATCACCCCGCCCCATTCTCCCGCTTTCCATCAACCCGAACCATTCTCCCGCTTTCCATCACCCCGTACCATTCTACCGCTTTCCATCACCTCGCCCCATTCTCCCTCCTTCCATCACCCCGCCCCATTCTCCGACTTTCCATCACCCCGCCCCATTCTCCCGCTTTCCATCACCCCGCCCCATCCTCTTCTTTCCATCACCCCGCCCCATACTCCCGCTTTCCATCTCCCCGCCCCATCCTCTGCTTTCCATCACCCCGCCCCATTCTCTCGCTTTCCATTACCCCGCCCCGTTCTCCCTCCTTCCATCACCCCGCCCCATTTTTCCGCTTTCAATCACCCCGCCCCATTCTCCTGCTTTCCATCACCCCGCCCCATTCTCCCACCTTCCATCACCCCGCTCCATTCTCTTGCTTTCGATCACCCCGCCCCACTCTCCCACTTTCCATCAACCCGCCCCATTCTCCTGCTTTCCATCACCTCGCCCCTTTCTCCCGCTTTCCATCACCCCGCCCCATTCTCCCACTTTCCATCATTCCACCCCATTCTCCCGCTTTCCATCACCCCACCCCATTCTCCCTCCTTTCATCACCCCGCCCCATTCTCCCTCCTTCCATCACCCCGCCCCATTCTCCCTCCTTCCATCACCCTGCCCCATTCTCCCGTTTTCCATCACCCCACCCCATTCTCCCGCTTTCCATCACCCCGCCCAATTCTTCCCATTCTCTCGCTTTCCATCACCGAGCCCAAATCTCCCGCTTTCCATCACCCCGCCCCATTCTCCCGCTTTCCATCACCTCGCCCCATTCTCCCACCTTCCATCACCCCGCCCCATTCTCGTGCTTTCCATCACCCCGCCCCATTCTCCCGCTTTCCATCACCCTGCCCCATTCTCCCGCTTTCCATCACCCCGCCCCATTCTCCTGCTTTCTATCACCCGGCCCCATTCTCCCGCTTTCCATCACCCCGCCCCATTCTCCCGCTTTCCATCACTCTGCCCCATTCTCCCGCTTTCCATCACCCCACCCCATTCTCCCTCCTTCCGTCACCCTGCCCCATTCTCCCTCCTTCCATCACCCCGCCCCATTCTCCCGCTTTCCATCACCCCGCCCCGTTCTCCCGCTTTCCATCACCCCACCCCGTTCTCCCTCATTCCATAACCCCACCCCATTCTCCCTCCTTCCATCACCCTGCCCCATTCCCCCGCTTTCCATCACCCCGCCCCATTCTCCATATTCCATCACCCCGCACCATTCTCCTTCTTTTTATCACCCCGTCCCATTCTACCGCTTTCCATCACCCCTCCCCATTCTCCCACCTTACATCACCCCGCTCCATTCTGCTGCTTTCCATCACCCCGCCCCATTCTCCCACTTTCCATCACCCCGCCCCATTCTCCCGCTTTCCATCACCCCGCCCCATTCTCTCGCTTTCCATCACCCCGCCCCATTCTCCCTCCTTCCATCACCCCGCCCCATTCTCCCTCCTTCCATCACCCTGCCCCATTCTCCCGCTTTCCATCACCCCGCCCCATTCTCCCGCTTTCCATCACCCAACCCAATTCTCCCCATTCTCCCGCTTTCCATCACCCCGCTCGAATCTCCCGCTTTCCATCACCCTGCCCCATTCTCACGCTGTCCATCACCTCGCCCCATTCTCCCTCCTTCCATCACCCCGCCCCATTCTCCCGCTTTCCATCACCCCGCCCCATTCTTCCGCTTTCCATCACCCCGCCCCGTTCTCCCACTTTACATCACCTCGCCCCATTCTCCAACTTTCCATCACCCCGCTCCATTCTCCCGCTTTCCATCACCCCGCCCCATTCTCCCGCTTTCCATCACCCCGCCCCATTCTCCTGCTTTCCATCACCCCGTCCCATTCTCCCGCTTTCCATCACCCCACCCCATTCTCCCTCCTTCCATCACCCCGCCCCATTCTCCCTCCTTCCATCACCCCGCCCCATTCTCTTGCTTTCCATCACCCGGCCCCATTCTCACGCTTTCCATCACCCGGCCCCGTTCTCCCTCATTCCATCACCCCGCCCCATTCTTCCGCTTTTCATCACCCCACCCCATTCTCCCGCTTTCCATCACCCCGCCCCATTCTCCCGCTTTCCATCACCCCGCCCCATTCTCCCGCTTTCCATCACCCCGCCCCATTCTCCCGCTTTCCATAACCCCACCCCAATCTCCCGCTTTCCATCACCCGGCCCCATTCTCCCTCCTTCCATCACCTCTGCCCATTCTCCCTCCTTCCATCACTCCTCCCCAATCTCCCGCTTTCCATCACCCCGCCCCATTCTCCCTCCTTCCATCACCTCTGCCCATTCTCCCTCCTTCCATCACCCCTCCCCATTCTCCCGCTTTCCATAACCCCACCCCAATCTCCCGCTTTCCATCACCCCGCCCCATTCTCCCTCCTTCCATCACCTCTGCCCATTCTCCCTCCTTCCATCACCCCTCCCCATTCTCCCACTTTCCATCACCCCACCCCATTCTCCCTCCTTCCATCACCCCGCCCCGTTCTCCTTCCTTCCATCACCCCGCCCCATTCTCCCGCTTTCCATCACCCCGCCCCGTTCTCCTTCCTTCCATCACCCCGCCCCATTCTCCTGCTTTCCATCATCCCGCCCCATTCTCCCGCTTTCCATCGCCCCGCCTTATTCTCCTGCTTTCCATCACCCCGCCCCATTCTCCCGCTTTCCATCACCCCGCCCCATTCTCCCGCTTTCCATCACCGGCCCCATTCTCCCTCTTTCCATCACCCTGCCCCATTCTCCCGCTTTCCATCACCCCGCCCCATTCTCCTGCTTTCCATCACCCCGCCCCATTCTCCCGCTTTCCATCATTTTGCCCCATTCTCTCGCTTTCCATCACCCCGCCCCATTCTCCCTCCTTCCATCACCCCGCCCCATTCTCCCTCCTTCCATCACCCTGCCCCATTCTCCCGCTTTCCATCACCCCGCCCCATTCTCCCGCTTTCCATCACCCAACCCAATTCTCCCCATTCTCCCGCTTTCCATCACCCCGCTCGAATCTCCCGCTTTCCATCACCCTGCCCCATTCTCACGCTGTCCATCACCTCGCCCCATTCTCCCTCCTTCCATCACCCCGCCCCATTCTCCCGCTTTCCATCACCCCACCCCATTCTCCCGCTTTCCATCACCCCGCCCCGTTCTCCCACTTTCCATCACCTCGCCCCATTCTCCAACTTTCCATCACCCCGCTCCATTCTCCCGCTTTCCATCACCCCGCCCCATTCTCCCGCTTTCCATCACCCCGCCCCATTCTCCTGCTTTCCATCACCCCGTCCCATTCTCCCGCTTTCCATCACCCCACCCCATTCTCCCTCCTTCCATCACCCCGCCCCATTCTCCCTCCTTCCATCACCCCGCCCCATTCTCTTGCTTTCCATCACCCGGCCCCATTCTCACGCTTTCCATCACCCGGCCCCGTTCTCCCTCATTCCATCACCCCGCCCCATTCTTCCGCTTTTCATCACCCCACCCCATTCTCCCGCTTTCCATCACCCCGCCCCATTCTCCCGCTTTCCATCACCCCGCCCCATTCTCCCGCTTTCCATCACCCCGCCCCATTCTCCCGCTTTCCATAACCCCACCCCAATCTCCCGCTTTCCATCACCCGGCCCCATTCTCCCTCCTTCCATCACCTCTGCCCATTCTCCCTCCTTCCATCACTCCTCCCCAATCTCCCGCTTTCCATCACCCCGCCCCATTCTCCCTCCTTCCATCACCTCTGCCCATTCTCCCTCCTTCCATCACCCCTCCCCATTCTCCCGCTTTCCATAACCCCACCCCAATCTCCCGCTTTCCATCACCCCGCCCCATTCTCCCTCCTTCCATCACCTCTGCCCATTCTCCCTCCTTCCATCACCCCTCCCCATTCTCCCACTTTCCATCACCCCACCCCATTCTCCCTCCTTCCATCACCCCGCCCCGTTCTCCTTCCTTCCATCACCCCGCCCCATTCTCCCGCTTTCCATCACCCCGCCCCGTTCTCCTTCCTTCCATCACCCCGCCCCATTCTCCCGCTTTCCATCATCCCGCCCCATTCTCCCGCTTTCCATCGCCCCGCCTTATTCTCCTGCTTTCCATCACCCCGCCCCATTCTCCCGCTTTCCATCACCCCGCCCCATTCTCCCGCTTTCCATCACCGGCCCCATTCTCCCTCTTTCCATCACCCTGCCCCATTCTCCCGCTTTCCATCACCCCGCCCCATTCTCCTGCTTTCCATCACCCCGCCCCATTCTCCCGCTTTCCATCATTTTGCCCCATTCTCCCGCTTTCCATCACCCCGCCCCATTCTCCCGCTTTCCTTAACCCCTCCACATTCTCCCGTTTTCCATCACCCCGCCCCATTCTCCCGCTTTCCATCACCTCACCCCGTTCTCCCGCTTTCCATCACCCTTCCCCATTCTCCCGCTTTCCATCACCCCACCCCATTCCCCTCCTTCCATCACCTCGCCCCATTCTCCCGCTTTCTATCACGCCGCCCCATTCTCCCGCTTTCCATCACCCCGCCCCATTCTCCCGCTTTCCATCACCCCGCCCCATTCTCCCGCTTTCCATCACCCCGCCCCATTCTTCCGCTTTCCTTCACCCCGCCCTATTCTCCCTCCTTCCATCACCCCGGCCCATTCTCCCTCCTTCCATCACCCCGCCCAATTCTCCCGCTTTCCATCACCCCGCCCCATTCTCCCGCTTTCCATCACCCCGCCCCATTCTCCCGCTTTCCATCACCCCGCCCCATTCTCCCGCTTTCCATCACCCTGCCCCATTCTCCCGCTTTCCATCACCCCGCCCCATTCTCCCGATTTCCATCACCCCGCCCCATTCTCCCTCCTTCGATCACCCCGCTCCATTCTCCCTCCTTCCATCACCCCGCCCCATTCTCCCGCTTTCTATCACCCCGCCCCATTCTCCCACTTTCCATCACCCCGCCCCATTCTCCCGCTTTCCATCACCCCGCCCCATTCTCCCGCTTTCCATCACCCTGCCCCATTCTACTGCTTTCTATCACCCCGCCCCATTCTCCCGATTTCCATCACCTCGCCCCATTCTCCGCTTTCCATCAACCCGCCCCATTCTCCCGCTTTTGATCACCCCGCCCCATTCTCCCGCTTTCCATCACCCAGCCTCATTCTCCCACTTTCCATCACCCCGCCCCATTCTCCCACTTTCCATCAACCCGCCCCATTCTCCCGATTTCCATCACCCCGCCCCATAATCCCTCCTTCCATCACCCCGCCCCATTCTCCCGCTTTCCATCACCCCGCCCCATTCTCCCGCTTTCCATCACCCTGCCCCATTCTCCCGCTTTCCATCACCCCGCCCCATTCTCCCGCTTTCCATCACCCCGCCCCATTCTCCCACTTTCCATCACCTCGCCCCATTCTCCCGCTTTTCATCACCCCGCCCCATTCTCCCGCTTTCCATTACCCCGCCCCATTCTCCCGCTTTCCATCACCCCGCCCCATTCTCCCCCTGTCCATCACCCCGCCCAATTCTCCCACTTTCCATCACCCCGCCCCATTCTCCCGCTTTCCATCACCCCGCCCCTTTCTCCCCCTGTCCATCACCCCGCCCCATTCTCCCGCTTTCCATCACCCCACCCCATTCTCCCGCTTTCCATCACCCCGCCCCATTCTCCCGCTTCCCATCACCCACCCCATTATCCCGCTTCCATCAACCCCCTCATTCTCCCGCTTCCATCTCCGCGCACCATTCTCCCGCTTTCCATCACCCTGCACCATTCTCCCGCTTTCCATCACCCTACCCCATTCTCCCACTTTCCATCACCCCGCCCCATTCTTTCGCTTACCATCACCTCGCCCCATTCTCCCGCTTTCCATCACCCCGGCCCATTCTCCCGCTTTCCATCACCCCGCCCCATTCTCCCGCTTTCCATCACCCACCCCATTCTCCCGCTTTCCATCACTTCTCCCAATTCTCCCGCTGTCCATCACCCCACACCATTCTCCCGCTTTCCATCACCCCGCCCCATTCTCTCGCTTTGCATCACCCCGCCCCATTCTCCCGCTTTACATCACTCCACCCCATTCTCTCGCTTTCCATCACCCCGCCCCATTATCCCGCTTTCCATCACCCCGCCCTATTCTCCCGCTTTCCATCACCCCGTCCCATTCTCCCTCCTTCCATCACCCCGCCCCATTCTCCCTCCTTCCATCACCCCTCCCCATTCTCCCGGTTTCCATCACCCCGCCCCATTCTCCCACTTTCCATCACCCCGCCCCATTCTCCCGCTTTCCATCACCACGCCCTTTTCTCTCTCCTTCCATCACCCTGCCCCATTCTCACTCCTTCCATCACCCTGCCTCATGCTCCCACTTTCCATCACCCCGCCCCATTCTCCCGCTTTCAATCACCCCGCCCCATTCTGCCGCTTTCCATCACCCCGCCCCATTCTCCCGCTATCCATCACCCTGCCCCATTCTCCCGATTTCCATCACCCCGCCCTATTCTCCCTCCTTCCATCACCCTGCCCCATTCTCCCGCTTTCTATCACCCCGCCCCATTCTCCCACATTCCATCACCCGGCCCCATCTCCCGCTTTCCATCACCCCGCCCCATTTTCCAGCTTTCCATCACCCCGCCCCATTCTCCCTCCTTCCATCACCCAGCCTCATTCTCCCACTTTCCATCACCCCGCCCCATTCTCCCACTTTCCATCACTACGCCCCATTTCCCCGATTTCCATCACCCCGCCCCATTCTCCCTCCTTCCATCACCCCGCCCCATTCTCCTCCTTTCTTTCACCCCGCCCCATTCTCCCGCTTTCCATCACCCTGCCCCATTCTCCCGCTTTCCATCACCCTACCTCATTCTCCCGCTTTCCATCACCCTACCTCATTCTCCCACTTTCCACCACCCCGCTCCGTTCTCCCACTTTCCATCACCCCGCCCCATTCTCCTGATTTCCATCACCCGCCCCATTCTCCCTCCTTCCATCATCCCACCCCATTCTCCCTCCTTCCATCACCCCGCCCCATTCTCCTGCTTTCTATCACCCTGCCCCATTCTCCCACTTTCCATCACCCCGCCCCATTCTCCCTTCTTCCATCACCTCGCCCCATTCTCCCACTTTCTATCACCGCGCCCCATTCTCCCGCTTTCCATCACCCCACCCCATTCTCCCGCTTTTTATCACCCCGTCCCATTCCCCCTTCTTCCATCATCCTGCCCTATTCTCCCTCCTTCCATCACCCCGCCCCATTCTCCCGCTTTCCATCACCCCGCCCCATTCTCCCACTTCCCATCACCCACCTCATTCTCCCGCTTCCATCACCCGCCCCATTCTCCTGCTTTCATCTCCGCACACCATTCTCCTGCTTTCCATCACCCGCCCCATAATCCCGCTTTCCATCACCCCGCCCCATTCTCCCGTTTTCCATCACCCCGCCCCATTCTCCCACTTTCCATCACCCCTCCCCATTCTCCCGCTTTCCATCACCCTGCCCCATTCTCCCGCCTTCCGTCATCCCACCCCATTCTCCCGCTTTCCATCACCCCGCCCCATTCTCCCGCTGTCCATCACCCCTCCCCATTCTCCCGCTTTCCATGAACCCGCCCCATCCTCTCTCTTTCCATCACCCCGCCCCATTCTCTCGCTTTCCATCACCCCGCCCCATTCTCCCGCTTTCCATCACCCCACCCCATTCTCCCGCTTTCCATCACCCCGCCCCATTCTCTCGCTTTCCATTATTCTCCCGCTTTCCATCACCCCGCCCCATTCTCCCTCCTTCCACCACCCCGCCCCATTCTTCCTCCTTCCATCACCCCGCCCCATTCTCCCGCTTTCCGTCATCCTACCCCATTCTCCCACTTTCCATCACCCCGCCCCATTCTCGCCTTTTCCATCACCCCGCCCCATTCTCCCGCTTTCCATCACCCCGCCCCCTTCTCCCGCTTTCCATCATCGCGGCCCATTCTCCCGCTTTCCATAACCCCACCCTATTCTCCCGCTTTCCATCACCCCGCCCCATTCTCCCGCTTTCCATCACCCCGCCCCATTCTCCCGCTTTCCATTATTCTCCCGCTTTCCATCACCCCGCCCCATTCTCCCTCCTTCCATCACCCCGCCCCATTCTCCCTCCTTCCATCACCCCGCCCCATTCTCCCGCTTTCCATCATCCCGCCCCATTCTCCCGCTTTCCATCACCCCGCCCCATTCTCCCGTTTTCCATCACCCCGCCCCATTCTCCCGCTTTCCATCACCCCGCCCCATTCTCCCGCTTTCCATCACCCCGCCCTATTCTCCTTCTTTCAATGTCACTGCCCCATTCTCCCGCTTTCCATCACCCTGCCCCATTCTCCCGCTTTCCATCACCTCGCCTCATTCTCCCGCTTTCCATCACCCTGCACCATTCTCCCGCTTTTCATCACCTCGCCCCATTCTCCCTCCTTCCATCATCCCACCCGATTCTCCCTCTTTCCATCACCCTACCCCATTCTCCCGCTTTCCATCACCCCACCGCATTCTCCCTCCTTCCATTACCCCGCCCCATTCTCCCACTTTCCATCACCCTGCCCCATTCCTCCGCTTTCCATCACCGACCCCATTCTCCCGCTTTCCATCACCCCGCCCCATCCTCTGCTTTCCATCACCCCGCCCCACACTCCCTCTTTCCATCACCCCGCCCCATTCTCCCTCCTTCCATCACCACGCCCCATTCTCCCTCCTTCCATCACCCCGCCCCATTCTCCCGCTTTCCATCACCCCGCCCCATTCTCCCGCTTTCCATCACCCCGCCCTATTCTCACTCCTTCCATCACCCCGCCTCATTTTCCCGCTTTCCATCACCCCGCCCCATTCTCCCTCTATCCATCACCCCGCCCAATTCTCCCGCTTTTCGTCACCCCGCCCCATTCTCCGCTTTCCATCACCCCGTCCCATTCTCCCACCTTCCATCACCCCGCTCCATTCTCCTGCTTTCCATCACCCCGCCCCATTCTCCCGCTTTCCATCACCCCGCCCCACTCTCCTACTTTCCATCACCCCGCCCCATTCTGCCGCTTTCCATCACCCCGCCCCATTCTCCCGCTTTTCAATCACCCCTCCCCATTCTTCCGCTTTCCATCACCCGGTACCATTCTCCCGCTTTCCATCACCCCGCCCCATACTCCCTCTTTCCATCACCCCGCCCCATTCTCCCGCTTTCCATCACCCCGCCCAATTCTCCCGCTTTCCATCACCCCGCCCCATTCTCCCGCTTTCCATCACCCCACTCCATTCTCCTGCTTTCCATCACCCCGCCCCATTCTCCCACTTTCCATCACCCCGCCCCATTCTACTGCTTTCCATCACCCTGCCCCATTCTGCCGCTTTCCATCACCCCGCCCCATTCTCCCACTTTTCAATCACCCCTCCCCATTCTCCCGCTTTCCATCACCCTGTACCATTCTCCCGCTTTCCATCTCCCCGCCCCATACTCCCGCTTTCCATCACCCTGCCCCATTCTCCCTCCTTCCATCACCCCGCCCCATTCTTCCTCCTTCCATCACCCCGCCCCATTCTCCCGCTTTCCATCACCCCGCCCCATTCTCCCTCCTTCCATCACCCCGCCCCGTTCTCCATACTTCCATCACCCCGCCCCATTCTCCCACTTTACATCACCCCGCCCCATTCTCCCGCTTTCCATCACGCCGTCCTATTCCCCTGGCGGGGTGATGGAAGGAGGGAGAATGGGGCCGGATGATGGAAGGAGGAAGAATGGGCCTGGGTGATGGAAATCAGGAGAATGGGGCGGGGTGACGGAAGGCGGGAGAATGGGGCGGGGTGATGGAAAGCGGGAGAATAAGGAGGGGTGATGGAAAGCGGGAGAATTGGGCGAGGTGATGGAAAGCCGGAGAATGGGGAAGCGTGATGGAAGGTGGGAGAATGGGGCGGGGTGATGGAAAGCGGGAGAATGGGACGGGGTGATGGAAAGCAGGAGAATGGGACGGGGTGATAAAAAGCAGGAGAATGGGGCGGGGTGATGGAATATGGAGAATGGGGCGAGGTGATAGAAAGCGGGGGAATGGGGGAGGGTGATGGAGGGGGGGAGACTGGGGCAGGGTGATGGAATGAGGGAGAACGGGGCGGGGTGATGGAAGGCGGGAGAATGGGGCGGGGTGATGGAAAGCAAGAGAATGGGGCGGGGTGATGGAAGGAGGGAGAATGGGGCGGGGTGATGGAAGGAGGGAGAATGGGGTGGGGTGATGGAAAGCGGGAGAATGGGACGGGGTGATGGAAAGTGGGAGAATGGGGCGGGGTGATGGAAAGCGGGAGAATGGGGCGGAGTGATGGAAAGCGGGAGAATGGGGCGGGGTGATGGAAAGTTGGAGAATGGGGCGGGGTGATGGAAAGTGGGAGAACGGGGCGGGGTGATGGAAAGCGGGAGAATGGGGCGGGTGATGGAAAGCGGGAGAATGAGGCGGGGTGATGGAAAGCGGGAGAATGGGGCGGGGTGATGGAAGGAGGGAGAATGGGGCGAGGTGATGGACAGCGTGAGAATGGGGCAGGGTGATGGAAAGCGGGAGATTCGAGCGGGGTGATGGAAAGCGGGAGAATGGGGAGAATTGGGTTGGGTGATGGAAAGCGGGAGAATGGGGCGGGGTGATGGAAAGCGGGAGAATGGGTCGGGGTTTTGGATAGTGGGAGAATGGTGCTAAGTGATGGAAAGTGGGAGAATGGCACAGGGTGATGGAAAGCAGGACAATGGGGCAGGGTGATGGAAAGCGGGAGAATGGGGCAGGGTGATGGAAGGAGGGAGTATGGGGCGGGGTGATGGAAGGAGGGAGAATGGGGCCGGATGATGGAAGGAGGAAGAATGGGCCGGGGTGATGGAAAGCAGGAGAATGGGGCGGGGAGACGGAAGGCGGGAGAATGGGGCGGGGTGATGGAAAGCGAAAGAATAAGGAGGCGTGATGGAAAGCGGGAGAATTGGGCGAGGTGATGGAAAGCAGGAGAATGGGGCGGCGTGATGGAAGGTGGGAGAATGGGGCGGGGTGATGGAAAGCGGGAGAATGGGACGGGGTGATGTAAAGAGGGAGAATGGGACGGGGTGATTAAAAGCAGGAGAATGGGGCGGGGTGATGGAATATGGAGAATGGGGCGAGGTGATGTAAAGCGGGGGAATGGGGGAGGGTGATGGAAGGAGGGAGACTTGGGCGGGGTGATGGAATGAGGGAGAACGGGGCGGGGTGATGGAAAGCGGGAAAACGAGGCGGGGTGATGGAAAGCAAGAGAATGGGGCGGGGTGATGGAAGGAGGGAGAATGGGGCGGGGTGATGGAAGGAGGGAGAATGGGGTGGGGTGATGGAAAGCGGGAGAATGGGACGGGGTGATGGAAATCGGGAGAATGGGGCGGGGTGATGGAAAGATGGAGAATGGGGCGGGGTGATGGAAAGTGGGAGAACGGGGCGGGGTGATGGCAAGCGGGAGAATGGGGCGGGGTGATGGAAAGCGGGAGAATGGGGCGGGGTGATGGAAAGCGGGAGAATGGGGCGGGGTGATGGAAGGAGGGAGAATGGGGCGGGGTGATGGACAACGTGAGAATGGGGCAGGGTGATGGAAAGCGGGACATTCTAGCGGGGTGATGGAAAGCGGGAGAATGGGGAGAATCGGGTTGGGTGATGGAAGGCGGGAGAATGGGGCGGGGTGATGGAAAGCGGGAGAGTGGGGCAGGGTGATGGAAGGAGGGAGAATGGGGCAGGGTGATGGAGGAGGGAGAATGGGGCGGGGTGATGGAAAGCGGGAGAATGGGGCGGGGTGATGGAAAGCGGGAGAATGGGGCGGGGTGATGGAAAGTGGGAGAATGGGGCGGGGTGATGGAAAGCAGGAGAATGGAGCGGGGTGATGGAAGGAGGGATTATGGAGCGGGGTGATGGAAGGAGGGAGAATGGGGCCGGATGATGGAAGGAGGGAGAATGGGCCGGGGTGATGGAAAGCAGGAGAATGGGGCGGGGTGACGGAAGGCGGGAGAATGGGGCGGGGTGATGGAAAGCGGGAGAATAAGGAGGGGTGATGGAAAGCGGGAGAATTGGGCGGGGTGATGGAATATGGAGAATGGGGCGAGGTGATGGAAAGCGGGGGAATGGGGGAGGGTGGTGGAGGGGGGGAGACTGGGGCAGGGTGATGGAATGAGGGAGAACGGGGCGGGGTGATGGAAGGCGGGAGAATGGGGCGGGGTGATGGAAAGCAAGAGAATGGGGCGGGGTGATGGAAGGAGGGAGAATGGGGCGGGGTGATGGAAGGAGGGAGAATGGGGTGGGGTGATGAAAAGCGGGAGAATGGGACGGGGTGATGGAAAGCGGGAGAATGGGGCGGGGTGATGGAAAGCGGGAGAATGGGGCGGAGTGATGGAAAGCGGGAGAATGGGGCCGGGGTGATGGAAAGTTGGAGAATGGGGCGGGGTGATGGAAAGTGGGAGAACGGGGCGGGGTGATGGAAAGCGGGAGAATGGGGCGGGGTGATGGAAAGCGGGAGAATGGGGCGGGGTGATGGAAAGCGGGAGAATGGGGCGTGGTGATGGAAGGAGGGAGAATGGGGCGAGGTGATGGACAGCGTGAGAATGGGGCAGGGTGATGGAAAGCGGGAGATTCGAGCGGGGTGATGGAAAGCGGGAGAATGGGGAGAATTGGGTTGGGTGATGGAAAGCGGGAGAATGGGGCGGGGTGATGGAAAGCGGGAGAATGGGGCAGGGTGATGGAAGGAGGGAGAATGGGGCGGGTGATGGAAGGAGGGAGAATGGGGCGGGGTGATGGAAAGTGGGAGAATGGGTCGGGGTTTTGGATAGTGGGAGAATGGTGCTTAGTGATGGAAAGTGGGAGAATGGCACAGGGTGATGGAAAGCAGGACAATGGGGCAGGGTGATGGAAAGCGGGAGAATGGGGCAGGGAGATGGAAGGAGGGAGTATGGGGCGGGGTGATGGAAGGAGGGAGAATGGGGCCGGATGATGGAAGGAGGAAGAATGGGCCGGGTTGATGAAAAGCAGGAGAATGGGGCGGGTGACGGAAGGCGGGAGAATGGGGCGGGGTGATGGAAAGCGGGAGAATAAGGAGGGGTGATGGAAAGCGGGAGAATTGGGCGAGGTGATGGAAAGCGGGAGAATGGGGCGGCGTGATGGAAGGTGGGAGAATGGGGCGGGGTGATGGAAAGCGGGAGAATGGGACGGGGTGATGGAAAGCGGGAGAATGGGACGGGGTGATTAAAAGCAGGAGAATGGGGCGGGGTGATGGAATATGGAGAATGGGGCGAGGTGATGTAAAGCGGGGGAATGGGGGAGGGTGATGGAAGGAGGGAGACTTGGGCGGGGTGATGGAATGAGGGAGAACGGGGCGGGGTGATGGAAAGCGGGAGAACGAGGCGGGGTGATGGAAAGCAAGAGAATGGGGCGGGGTGATGGAAGGAGGGAGAATGGGGCGGGGTGATGGAAGGAGGGAGAGTGGGTTGGGGTGATGGAAAGCGGGAGAATGGGACGGGGTGATGGAAAGCGGGAGAATGGGGCGGGGTGATGGAAAGCGGGAGAATGGGGCGGGGTGATGGAAAGCGGGAGAATGGGGCGGGATGATGGAAAGTTGGAGAATGGGGCGGGGTGATGGAAAGTGGGAGAACGGGGCGGGGTGATGGAAAGCGGGAGAATGGGGCGGGGTGATGGAAAGCGGGAGAATGGGGCGGGGTGATGGAAAGCGGGAGAATGGGGCGGGGTGATGGAAGGAGGGAGAAGGGGGCGAGGTGATGGACAGCGTGAGAATGGGGCAGGGTGATGGAAAGCAGGAGATTCGAGCGGGGTGATGGAAAGCGGGAGAATGGGGAGAATTGGGTTGGGTGATGGAAAACGGGAGAATGGGGCAGGGTGATGGAAAGCGGGAGAATGGGGCAGGGTGATGGAAGGAGGGAGAATGGGGCGGGTGATGGAAGGAGGGAGAATGGGGCGAGGTGATGGAAAGCGGGAGAATGGGGCGGGGTGATGGAAAGCGGGAGAATGAGGCGGGGTGATGGAAAGTGGGAGAATGGGGCGGGGTGATGGAAAGCAGCAGAATGGAGCAGGGTGATGGAAGGTGGGAGAATGGGGAGGGGTGATGGAAAGCGGTAGAATGGGACGGGGTGATAAAAAGCAGGAGAATGGTGCGGGGTGATGGAATATGGAGAATGGGGCGGGGTGATGGAAAGCGGGAGAATGGGGCAGGGTGATGGAAGGAGGGAGAATGGGGCGGGGTTATGGAATGAGGGAGAACGGGGCGGGGCGATGGAAAGCGGGAGAATGGGGCGGGGTGATGGAAGGAGGGAAAATGGGGCAGGGTGATGGAAGGAGGGAGAATGGGGTGGGGTGATGGAAAGCGGGAGAATGGGGCGGAGTGATGGAAAGCGGGAGAATGGGGCGGGGTGATGGAAAGCGGGAGAATGGGGCGGGGTGATAGAAAGCAGGAGAATGGGGCGGGGTGATGGAAAGCGGGAGAATGGGGCGGGTTGATCAAAAGCGGGAGAATGGGGCAGGGTGATGGAAAGCGGGAGAATGGGGCGGGGTGATGGAAAGCAGGAGAATGGGGCGGGGTGATGGAAGGTGGGAGAATGGGGCGAGGTGATGGAAAGCGGGAGAATGGGGCGGGGTGATGGAAAGCGCGAGATTTGGGCTCGGTGATGGAAAACGAGAGAATGGGAAGAATTGGGCGGGGTGATGGAAAGCGGGAGAATGGGGTGGGGTGATGGAAATCGGGAGAATGGGGCAGGGTGATGGAAGGAGGGAGAATGGGGCGGGGTGATGGAAGGAGGGGGAATGGGGCGGGGTGATGAAAGGAGGGAGAATGGGGTGGGGTGATGGAAAGCGGGAGAATGGGGTGGAATGATGGAAAGCGGGAGAATAGGGCGGGGTGATGGAAAGCGGGAGAATGGGGCGAGGTGATGGAAAGCAGGAGAATGGGGCGGGGTGATGGAAAGTGGGAGAATGGGGCGGGGTGATGGAAAGCAGGAGAATGGAGCGGGGTGATGGAAGGTGGGAGAATGGGTCGGGGTGATGGAAAACGGGAGAATAGGGCAGGGTGATTGAAAGCGGGAAAATGGGGCGGGGTGATGGAAGGAGGGAGAATGGGGTGGGGTGATGGAAAGCGAGAGAATGGGGCGGGGTGATGGAAAGCAGAGGATGGGGCGGGGTGATGGAAAGCGGGAGAATGGGGTGGGTGATGGAAAGCGGGAGAATGGGGCAGGGTGATGGAAAGCGGGAGATTGGGGCAGGGTGATGGAAAGCGGGAGAATGGGGCGGGGTAATGGAAGGAGGGAGAATGGGGCGAGGTGATGGAAAGCGGGAGAATGGTGCAGGGTGATGGAAAGGGGGAGAATGAGGCGAGGTGATGGAAAGCGGGAGAATGGGGCGGGGTGATGGAAAGCAGGAGAATGGGGCAGGGACATTGAAAGAAGGAGAATAGGGCGGGGTGATGGAGAGCGGGAGAATGGGGCGGGGTGATGGAAAGCGGGAGAATGGGGCGGGGTCATGGAAAGCGAGAGAATGAGGCAGGGTGATAGAAAGCGGGAGAATAGGGCGGGGTGATGGAAAGTGGGAGAATGGGGCGGGGTGATGGAAGTATGGAGAACGGGGCGGGGTGATGGAAGGAGGGAGAATGGGGCGGGATGATGGAAAGCGGGAGTATGGGGCAGGGAGATGGAAAGCGGGAGAATGGTACAGGGTGATGGAAAGCGGGAGAATGGGGAGGGGTGATTGAAAAGTGGGAGAATGGGGCGGGGTGATGGAAAGCGGCAGAATGGGGTGGGGTGATGGAAAGCAGGAGAATGGGGCGGGGTGATGGAAAGTGGGAGAATGGGGCGGGGTGATGGAAAGCAGGAGAATGGAGTGGGGTGATGGAAAGCGGGAGAATGGGGCGGGGTGATGGAAGGAGGAAGAATGGGGCGGGGTGATGGAAGGAGGGAGAATGGGGCAGGGTGATGGAAAGCGGGAGTATGGGGCAGGGAGATGGAAAGCGGGAGAATGTTACAGGGTGATGGAAAGCGGGAGAATGGGGAGGGGTGATTGAAAAGTGGGAGAATGGGGCGGGGTGATGGAAAGCGGCAGAATGGGGCGGGGTGATGGAAAGCAGAAGAATGGGGCGGGGTGATGGAAAGTGGGAGTATGGGGCGGGGTGATGGAAAGCAGGAGAATGGAGTGGGGTGATGGAAAGCGGGAGAATGGGGCGGGGTGATGGAAAGCGGGATAATTGGGCGGGGTGATGGAAAGCGTGAGAATGGGGCGGGGTGACGGAAAGCGGGAGTATGGGGCGGGGTGATGGAAAGCGGGAGAATGGTACAGGGTGATGGAAAGCGGCAGAATGGGGCGGGGTGATGGAAAGCAGGAGAATGGGGCGGGGTGATGGAAAGTGGGAGAATGGGGCGGGGTGATGGAGAGCAGGAGAATGGAGCGGGGTGATGGAAGGTGGGAGAATGGGACGGGGTGATGGAAAGCGGGAGAATGGGGCGGGGTGACGGAAAGCGGGAGAATTGGGCGGGGTGATGGAAAGCGGGAGAATGGGGCGGGGTGATGGAAAGCGGGAAAATGAGGCGGGGTGATGGAAGGAGGGAGAATAGGGCGGGGTGATGGAAAGCGGGAGAATAGGGCGGGCAGATGGAAAGCGGGAGAATGGGGCGGGGTGATGGAAAACGGGAGAATGGGGCGGGGTGATGGAAGGAGGGAGACTGGGTGGGGTGATGGAAAGCGGGAGAATGGGGCGGGGTGAAGGAAAGCAGGAGAATGGGGAGGGGTGATTCAAAGCGGGAGAATGGGCTGGGGTGATGAAAAGCAGGAAAATGGGTCGGGGTGATGGAAAGCGGGAGAATGGGGCAGGGTGATGGAAAGCGGGAGACTGGGGCGGGGTGATGGAAAGCGGGAGAATGGGGCGGGGTGATGGAAAGCGGGGGAATGGGGCGGGGTGATGGAAAGCGGGAGAATGGGGCGGGGTGATGGAGAGCGGGAGAATGGGCTGGGGTGAAGGAAAGCCGGAGAATGGGGCAGGGTGATGGAAAGCCGGAGAATGGGGCGGGGTGATGGAAAGCGGGAGAATGGGGCGAGATGATGGAAAGTGGGAGAATTGGGCAGGGTGATGGAAAGCGGGAGAATGGTGCTAAGTGATGGAAAGCGGAAGAATGGCACAGGGTGATGGAAAGCAGGACAATGGGGCAGAGTGATGGAAAGCGGGAGAATGGGGCAGGGTGATGGAAGGAGGGAGTATGGGGCGGGGTGATGGAAGGAGGGAGAATGGGGCCGGACGATGGAAGGAGGAAGAATGGGCCTGGGTGATGGAAAGCAGGAGAATGGGGCGGGGTGACAGAAGGCGGGAGAATGGGGCGGGGTGATGGAAAGCGGGAGAATAAGGAGGGGTGATGGAAAGCGGGAGAATTGGGCGAGGTGATGGAAAGCGGGAGAATGGGGCGGCGTGATGGAAGGTGGGAGAATGGGGCGGGGTGATGGAAAGCGGGAGAATGGGACGGGGTGACGGAAAGCGGGAGAATGGGTCGGGGTGATAAAAAGTCGGAGAATGGGGCGGGGTGATGGAATATGGAGAATGGGGCGAGGTGATGGAAAGCGGGGGAATGGGGGAGGGTGATGGAGGGAGGGAGACTGGGGCGGGGTGATGGAATGAGGGAGAACGGGGCGGGGTGATGGAAGGCGGGAGAATGGGGCGGGGTGATGGAAAGCAAGAGAATGGGGCGAGGTGATGGAAGGAGGGAGAATGGGGCGGGGTGATGGAAGGAGGGAGAGTGGGTTGGGGTGATGGAAAGCGGGAGAATGGGACGGGGTGATGGAAAGCGGGAGAATGGGGCGGGGTGATGGAAAGCGGGAGAATGGGGCGGGGTGATGGAAAGCGAGAGAATGGGGCGGGGTAATGGAAAGCTGGAGAATGGGGCGGGGTGATGGAAAGTGGGAGCATGAGGCGGGTTGATGGAAGGAGGGAGAATGGGGCGGGGTGATGGAAAGCGGGAGAATAAGGAGGGGTGATGGAAAGCGGGAGAATTGGGCGGGGTGATGGAAAGCGGGAGAATGGGGCGGCGTGATGGAAGGTGGGAGAATGGGGCGGGGTGATGGAAGGAGGGATAATGGGGCGGGTTAATGGAAAGCAGGAGAATGGGGCGGGGTGATGGAATGAGGGAGTATGGGACGAGGTGATGGAAAACGGGAGAATGGGGCGGGGTGATGGAAGGAGGGACAATGGGGCGGGGTGATGGAAGGAAAGAGAATGGGGTGGGGTCATGGAAAGCGGGAGAATGGGGTGGGGTGCTGGAAAGCGGGAGAATGGGGCGGGGTGATGGAAAACGGGAGAATGGGGCGGGGTGATGGAAGGAGGGAGACTGGGTGGGGTGATGGAAAGCGGGAGAATGGGGCGGGGTGAAGGAAAGCAGGAGAATGGGGAGGGGTGATTCAAAGCGGGAGAATGGGCTGGGGTGATGAAAAGCAGGAAAATGGGTCGGGGTGATGGAAAGCGGGAGAATGGGGCAGGGTGATGGAAAGCGGGAGACTGGGGCGGGGTGATGGAAAGCGGGAGAATGGGGCGGGGTGATGGAAAGCGGGGGAATGGGGCGGGGTGATGGAAAGCGGGAGAATGGGGCGGGGTGATGGAGAGCGGGAGAATGGGCTGGGGTGAAGGAAAGCCGGAGAATGGGGCAGGGTGATGGAAAGCCGGAGAATGGGGCGGGGTGATGGAAAGCGGGAGAATGGGGCGAGATGATGGAAAGTGGGAGAATTGGGCAGGGTGATGGAAAGCGGGAGAATGGTGCTAAGTGATAGAAAGCGGAAGAATGGCACAGGGTGATGGAAAGTAGGACAATGGGGCAGAGTGATGGAAAGCGGGAGAATGGGGCAGGGTGATGGAAGGAGGGAGTATGGGGCGGGGTGATGGAAGGAGGGAGAATGGGGCCGGACGATGGAAGGAGGAAGAATGGGCCTGGGTGATGGAAAGCAGGAGAATGGGGCGGGGTGACGGAAGGCGGGAGAATGGGGCGGGGTGATGGAAAGCGGGAGAATAAGGAGGGGTGATGGAAAGCGGGAGAATTGGGCGAGGTGATGGAAAGCGGGAGAATGGGGCGGCGTGATGGAAGGTGGGAGAATGGGGCGGGGTGATGGAAAGCGGGAGAATGGGACGGGGTGACGGAAAGCGGGAGAATGGGACGGGGTGATAAAAAGTCGGAGAATGGGGCGGGGTGATGGAATATGGAGAATGGGGCGAGGTGATGGAAAGCGGGGGAATGGGGGAGGGTGATGGAGGGAGGGAGACTGGGGCGGGGTGATGGAATGAGGGAGAACGGGGCGGGGTGATGGAAGGCGGGAGAATGGGGCGGGGTGATGGAAAGCAAGAGAATGGGGCGAGGTGATGGAAGGAGGGAGAATGGGGCGGGGTGATGGAAGGAGGGAGAGTGGGTTGGGGTGATGGAAAGCGGGAGAATGGGACGGGGTGATGGAAAGCGGGAGAATGGGGCGGGGTGATGGAAAGCGGGAGAATGGGGCGGGGTGATGGAAAGCGGGAGAATGGGGCGGGATGATGGAAAGTTGGAGAATGGGGCGGGGTGATGGAAAGTGGGAGAACGGGGAGGGGTGATGGAAAGCGGAAGAATGGGGCGAGGTGATGGAAAGCGGGAGAATGGGGCGGGGTGATGGAAAGCGGGAGAATGGGGCGGGGTGATGGAAGGAGGGAGAAGGGGGCGAGGTGATGGACAGCGTGAGAATGGGGCAGGGTGATGGAAAGCGGGAGATTCGAGCGGGGTGATGGAAAGCGGGAGAATGGGGAGGCCCTTGTTCTTTAAATTGTTCTTGTTAGGCCCTCGCTAGGCCCTTGTTCTTTAAAATTTGCACACGCTAGGCCCTTGTTCTAGCAATTTTGCACACGCTAGGCCCTTGTTCTTGCAATTTTGCACTCGCTAGGCCCTTGTTCTTGCAGTTTTGCACTCGCTAGGCCCTTGTTTTTGAACGTTTGCACACGCTAGGCCCTTGTTCTTGCAATTTTGCACATGCTAGGCACTTGTTCTTGCCATTTTGCACACGCTAGGCCCTTGTTCTTGAAATTTTGCACACTCTAGGCCTTTGTTCTTGCTATTTTGCACATGCTAGGCCCTTGTTCTTGAAATTTTGCACTCGCTAGGCCCTTGTTCTTGAAATTTTGAACACGCTAGGCCCTTATTCTTGCTGTTTTGCACTCCCTTGGCCCTTGTTCTTCCAATTTTGCACTCGCTAGGCCCTTGTTCTTGCAATTTTGCACACGCTAGGCCCCTGTTCTTCCAATTTTGCACTCGCTAGGCCCTTGTTCTTGCAATTTTGCACATGCTAGGCCCTTGTTCTTGCAATTTTGCACACGCTAGGCCCTTGTTCTTGAAATTTTGCACTTGCTAGGTCCTTGTTCTTGGAGTTTTGCACACGCTAGCCCCTTGTTCTTGCACTTTTGCACACGCTAGACACTTGTTCTTCCAATTTTGCACTCGCCAGGCCCTTGTTCTTGAAATTTTGAACACACTAGGCCCTTGTTCTTCCAATTTTGCACATGCTAGGCCCTTGTTCTTGCTATTTTGCACACGCTAGGCCCTTGTTCTTGAAATTTTGCACTAGCTAGGCCCTTGTTCTTGAAATTTTGCACACGCTAGGCCCTTGTTCTTGCTATTTTGCACATGCTAGGCCCTTGTTCTTGAAATGTTGCACTCGCTAGGCCCTTGTTCTTGAAATTTTGAACACGCTAGGCCCTTATTCTTGCTGTTTTGCACTCGCTAGGCCCTTGTTCTTCCAATTTTGCACTCGCTAGGCCCTTGTTCTTGCAATTTTGCACACGCTAGGCCCTTGTTCTTCCAATTTTGCACTCGCTAGGCCCTTGTTCTTGCAATTTTGCACACGCTAGGCCCTTGTTCTTGCAATTTTGCACACGCTAGGCCCTTGTTCTTGAAATTTTGCACTTGCTAGGTCCTTGTTCTTGGAGTTTTGCACACGCTAGGTCCTTGTTCTTGCAATTTTGCACTCGCTAGGCCCTTGTTCTTGCAGTTTTGCACTCGCTAGGCCCTTGTTCTTGCAGTTTTGTACACACTAGGCACTTGTTCTTCCAATTTTGCACTCACTAGGCCCTTGTTCTCAAACTTTTGCACACGCTAGGCCCTTGTTCTTGTAATTTTGCACACGCTAGGCCCTTGTTCTTCCAATTTTGCACTCGCTAGGCCCTTGTTCTTGCAATTTTGCACACGCTAGGCCCTTGTTCTTGCTATTTTGCACACGCTAGGCATATGTTCTTCCAATTTTGCACTCGTTAGGCCCTTGTTCTTGCAATTGTGCACACGCTAGGCCCTTGATCTTCCAATTTTGCACTCGATAGGCCCTTGTTCTTGCAACTTTGCATACGCTAAGCCCTTGTTCTTGCAATTTTGCACACGCTAAGCCCTTGTTCTTGAAATTTTGCACTCGCTAGGCCCTTGGTCTTGAAATGTTGCACACGCTAGGCCCTTGTTCTTACTGTTTTGCACACGCTAGGCCCTTTTTCTTCCAATTTTGCACTCGCTAGGCCCTTGTTCTTGCTATTTTGCACTCACTAGGCCCTTGTTCTTCCAATTTTGCACTCGCTAGGCCCTTGTTCTTCCAATTTTGCACTCGCTAAGCCGTTGTTCTTGAAATTTTGCACACGCTAGGCCCTTGTTCTTGCAATTTTGCACACGCTAGGCCCTTGTTCTTCCAATTTTGCACTCGCTAGGCCCTTGTTCTTGCAATTTTGCACACGCTAGGCCCTTGTTCTTGCAATTTTGCAAACGCTAGGCCCATGTTCTTGAACTTTTGCACTCGCTAGGCCCTTGTTCTTGAAATTTTGCACATGCTAGGCCCTTGTTCTTGCTATTTTGCACACGCTAGGCCCTTGTTCTTCCAATTTTGCACTCGCTAGGCCCTTGTTCTTGCAATTGTGCACACGCTAGGCCCTTGTTCTTCCAATTTTGCACTCGCTAGGCCCTTGTTCTTCCAATTTTGCACACGCTAGGCCCTTGTTCTTGCTATTTTGCACACACTAGGCCCTTGTTCTTTCTATTTTGCACACGCTAGGCCCTTGTTCTTGAAAGTTTGCACACGCTAGGCCCTTGTTCTTGCTATTTTGCACATGCTAGGCCCTTGTTCTTCCAGTTTTGCACTCGCTAGGCCCTTGTTCTTGAAATTTTGCACTCGCTAGGTCCTTCTTCTTGAACTTTTGCACACGCTAGGCCCTTTTTCTTGCAGTTTTGCACACACTAGGCACTTGTTCTTCCAATTTTGCACTCGCTAGGCCCTTGTTCTCAAAATTTTGCACACGCTAGGCCCTTGTTCTTGCAATTTTGCACACGCTAGGCCCTTGTTCTTCCAACTTTGCACTCGCTAGGCCCTTGTTCTTGCAATTTTGCACACGCTAGGCCCTTATTCTTGCTATTTTGCACATGCTAGGCCCTTGTTCTTTCGATTTTGCACTCGCTAGGCCCTTGTTCTTGCAATTGTGCACACGCTAGGCCCTTGATCTTCCAATTTTGCACTCGCTAGGCCCTTGTTCTTGCAATTTTGCACACGCTAAGCCCTTGTTCTTGCAATTTTGCACACGCTAGGCCCTTATTCTTGAAAGTTTGCACTCGCTAGGCCCTTGTTCTTGAAATTGTGCACACGCTAGGCCCTTGTTCTTGCTGTTTTGCACACGCTAGGCCCTTGTTCTTCCAATTTTGCACTCGCTAGGCCCTTGTTCTTGCAATTTTGCACACGCTAGGCCCTTGTTCTTCCAATTTTGCACTCGCTAGGCCCTTGTTCTTGCTATTTTGCACATGCTAGGCCCTTTTTCTTGCAATTTTGCACATGACAGGCCCTTGTTCTTGAAATTTTGCACACGCTAGGCCCTTGTTCTTGAAATTTTGCACACGCTAGGCCCTTGATCTTCCAATTTTGCACTCGTTGGGCCCTTGTTCTTGCAATTTTGCACATGCTAGGCCCTTGTTCTTGCTATTTTGCACACGCTAGGCCCTTGTTCTTGCTATTTTGCACATGCTAGGCCCATGTTCTTGAAGTTTTGCACATGCTAGGTTCTTGTTCTTGCTATTTTGCACACGCTAGGCCCACGTTAAACCCACCGTGTGTTAAACCCACCGTGTGTTAAACCTACCGTGTGTTCAACCCAACGTGTGTTCAACCCATCGTGTGTTCAACCCACTGTGTGTTAAACCCACCGTGTGTTCAACCCACCATGTGTTCAACACACCGTGTGTTCAACCCACCGTGTGATAAACCTACCGTGTGTTCAACCCACCGTGTGTTCAACCCACTGTGTGTTCAACCCACCGTATGTTCAACGCACCGTGTGTTTAACCCATCGTGTGTTCAACCCACCGTGTATTCAACCCACCGTGTGTTCAACCCACCGTGTATTCAACCCACCGTGTGCTAAACCTACCGTGTGTTCAACCCACCGTGTGTTCAACCCACCGTATGTTCAACCCACCGTGTGTTCAACCCACCGTGTGTTCAACCCACCGTGTGTTCAACCCACCGTGTATTCAACCCACCGTGTGTTAAAGCTACCGTGTGTTCAACCCACTGTGTGTTCAACCCACTGTGTGTTCATCCCACCGTGTATTCAACCCATCGTGTGTTCAACCCACCGTGTATTCAACCCACCGTGTGTTCAACCCACCGTGTATTCAACCCACCGTGTGTTAAACCTACCGTGTGTTCAACCCACCGTGTGTTCAACCCACCGTGTGTTCAACCCACCGTGTGTTCAACCCACCGTGTGTTCAACCCACGGTGGGTTCAACCCACCGTGGGTTCAACCCACCGTGTATTCAACCCACCGTGTGTTAAACCCACCGTGTGTTCAACCCACCGTGTGTTCAACCCACCGTGTGTTCAACCCACCGTGTATTCAACCCACCGTGTGTTAAACCTACCGTGTGTTCAACCCACCGTGTGTTCAACCCACCGTGTATTCAACCCACCGTTTATTCAACCCACCGTGTGTTCAACCCACCGTGTGTTCAACCCACCGTGTATTCAACCCACCGTGTGTTCAACCCACCGTGTGTTCAACCCACCGTGTATTCAACCCACCGTGTGTTAAACCTACCGTGTGTTCAACCTACCGTGTGTTCAACCCACCGTGTGTTCAACCCACCGTGTGTTCAACCCACCGTGTGTTCAACCCACCGTGTGTTCAACCCACCGTGTGTTAAACCTACTGTGTGTTCAACCCACCGTGTGTTAAACCTACCGTGTGTTAAACCCACTCTGTGTTCAACCCACCGTGTGTTCAACCCACCGTGTGTAAAACCCACCGTGTGTTAAACCCACCGTGTGTTAAACCCACCGTGTGTTAAACCCACCGTGTGTTAAACCCACCGTGTGTCAAACCCACCGTGTGTTAAACCCACCGTGTGTTCAACCCACCGTGTGTTCAACCCACCGTGTGTTAAACCCACCGTGTGTTGAACCCACCGTGTGTTGAACCCACCGTGTGTTAAACCCACCGTGTGTTAAATCCACCGTGTGTTCAACCCACCGTGTGTTCAACCCACCGTGTGTTAAACCCACCGTGTGTTAAACCCACCGTGTGTTAAACCCACCATGTGTTCAACCCACCATGTGTTAAACCTACCGTGTGTTCAACCCACCGTGTGCTCAACCCACCGTGTGTTAAACCCACCGTGTGTTAAACCCACCGTGTGTTAAACCTACCGTGTGTTCAACCCACCGTGTGTTCAACCCACCGTGTGTTCAACCCACCGTGTGTTAAACCTACCGAGTGTTCAACCCACCGTGTGTTCAACCCACCGTGTGTTCAACCCACTGTGTGTTAAACCCACCGTGTGTTCAACCCACCATGTGTTCAACCCACCGTGTGTTAAACCTACCGTGTGTTCAACCCACCGTGTGACCAACCCACCGTGTGTTCAACCCACCGTGTGTAAAACCTACCGTGTGTTCAACCCACCGTGTGTTAAACCTACCGTGTGTTCAACCCACCGTGTGTTCAACCCACCATGTGTTAAACCCACCGTGTGTTAAA